GGTTCCCATTCTGCCAGCTTTCTGTGAGTTCCATTTCCATGCTGTTCACGCCTTCTAGATATCTTTCTAGTTTCTAGATGCCCCTTCATGATTGTCCCACTATTTCCAAGAATATATGTATCTTCATTGACTATGATTTCAACTGGTCATTTAAAGAAGTAGGATAAAAACATTTCTTCGTTCCCACTCTCATCATCTTATTTCTGAAGTCTATAGAGGATATTAGGTTTTAAGGACATCCACAACCAATATAATGATTATCTATTTATGTCAGCTACTATCACTTCTGTGTGGTCAGTGGTCTCTTCAACAACATTTTTGATGAATTTCCTCTAGCTGTTTTTTTCTATCGAGAAGGGGGCCTAGTAATCAGTGTAGCTTCGCCAGCGTTCGGTTCCTACTGGCAAAATGGCATTCTCCTAATGTTTGGGGCCACCTCCTTCCATCAGAGGAATTGGATGAAATTCTAGTAGATATTGGAAGAAATAGAAAAATTATAATGGTAATTGATTTCAATGGACAAACGGGAAGGACAAACAATAGCCCAGTTGTAAGACCATTTGGAGAAGAAATAACCAAAGGCTCATACGTCTCTGTGAGACTCAATGACATTATCCAGGTATACCAAGCGAATCCCCACATAACTGACTCTATCAGTATTTGAAAAGTGGCAGGTGCATTACCTAATCCAAACGGCAATGTTCTACTAGATTGGTACATCGAGTAATTTTATCTTACACAACGAAACCACCTCTTCTTTCACAAAATCAGTGGCATTTTCTATTTCTTGATGGCCATTAATACCCATAACATAAATACTATAATCGACTATGCGATAAGCAAACAAGAAACAAACATAGAGATAAACGACGTAAGAGTCCTAAGAGGAATAACTTGCGGATCAGATCATTTTTCAGTAAGAGTCAAAATAAAGTGCAATTTAGGGAAATGAACAAGAACCTAGAAGAGGAACAAAACACCATACTCACGGACATAATGGATACAACAAAATATAATTTTGACAGTTTTAGAGGTGAAAGCACTGTATCAGAGGCGACTCGACAGCAAACTATTGAACCCTGAAGAATGTGCCTCCAATAAACTCTATGAGAACAGTCTAATAGAAGCCACCTAAGAGGCAATGGAAACGAAGAGAAAAAAATACCAACAAGAAATGCTGGTGGAACGAGGTATTAGTCCAAGAGAAAATGCAAAAATATCTGAAATGGCAAACAACAAAAAATGAACAAGACCTTGAAGTTTATAGAGACGCAAAAAACAACTAAGAACGTGCGCCACTATAGCTAAGAACGAGACAAGGGATAAGAAAGGTGAAGAAATTAACACCTACATAGGAGGAAGGAAATGTTTAGAGGTATGGAGATTTATATCAAATGTCAAAAACTCAGGAAAGGACAGGGTTAATATCCAGGTAATCAAACCAGAACAAGGATAGGAGACTAGAAGGGTCTATTACAGAAAAGTAGATCGGAATATATGTATATTAGATTCTCTCTCCAAGACATATTGAAGTACATGGAGGAGTAGTTGAGATATCTGAAGAAACAGTAAAAAAGACTGTTGATAATCTTAAGTCAGGTAAAGCTAGCCTAGCGGCCCAGAAAGAGAAGCTCCCTAAAGATCTCACATAAATAAACAATTAAAAAAAAATTTACACACAAAACTCATTGGTGAAAAAATTGTAACATACATTTTCAAAACTACAACCCCCTTAGAAGTTTCCTGCTAAGAAAACTGTCAGTCTTGATTCTCGTCAGGAATTTCCGATGATTCCTTATACAATTCTATACCTCTATACCCCTCAAGCGAGCAGTGTTGCCAGATCTCACGATTATTCGTAAGATTACAAGATTTTGATCAGAATTTCACGATCTCACGAATGAGGTAGCAAATCTCACGAATTTTCTCTGTAGTAATACAAATCAGTAATCAAATATAATGTAATCGGAAATAATCGAAATAAAAATCTACTATACACTATTTAGTTATGTTACGCCGCTCCTGGTACATGCGCGCCCAAGAAAACTTAATCTAATAGCACGGCATATACAAAAACAATCAGCAGGCTAACTCGAGGTTTGTATCCCAAAGTGGCGGCGTGCGCAGATGAGATGGGCGTTAAATCTCATTGTTTTGCTATTTAAAGATAGGCTGTATCCTCGAATGGCGGCATGCGCAGAAGAGATGCGCGTGAGAGTTAACCTGCTGTTTGTTTTTGTATATCCTGTGTTAATAGGACTGCTTATTGAGCTGAAAGTGTTTGCGAAGTCCACTAGACCCCACTATTTGTGACGTCAGCTGCAGACCTCAACTCTTGTCAGAAAATGCATTATCTTAGTCCAAAAAAACGAATTCATAAACGTTGAAATCGCCTTTTCTTAATTTAAAATTTCCAAAAAAATTAGCTCACAAGCACAGCCTGAATCACAAGCTATCCATCGAGGTCCGCGGGTGACGTTGCCAATATCAGTTGCTGATAGTAGTGACGTCACTCGCAAACCAACTGCCGACTCGAGAATTGACGAACATACGCGTTTTTAGGATAAGCAATCCTGCGGATAATGAAAACGAGGTTCAGCACTCAGAAACACCTGCTAAAAAACGGAAAAAACAGGGATACAAGATTTTATAATAAAATTTCAATTTCTTATGGATGTAAAATCGTGTCTACTCTATCAAAAATCCATAGAAGAACATTGTGCATTATTTTCTTACAAGCAATTTTAGGTCTCACGATTTTTCTTTATCAATTCTCACGAATTTTTTTAATTTCATCTGGCAACACTGCAAGCGATCGTGTATTCTGTACCGGGTATAACGAAACGCTTGTCGTCCGCGTAAGACAGGGTCACTTTATTTTTAAGTTCTATTAACATTTTCTCGTCTTTCATTTTTCCCAAAATGGAGTGGTTTATAGGAAGACCAGGTGGGTTGTCTTGTAAATAATTGAAAGACATCCTGTTCCACAAAACTGGAAAACGGCTTTTATATCATCCATTCACAAAAAAGAAAATAAGCCGGACTACTATAACTATCAGAGCATATGTCACAAGCAAACTAAGCAGACTATACAGTAGAATCGTGCGTGTAAACCCACCTTACATTATTTGTCGACCTACCAAAAGCATACGATACAATCTCAATATCCAGACTATGGAAAGTATTAGAACAATCCAACATCAATCTCACCTATATAGCGGCCCTTAAAAAACTATATGAAGGTTCAAAATCAAGAATTAGAATAGGTAAAAAACTGACAGACACATTTATAGTGAATAAAGGACAACGCAAGGATGTTGTATCTCTCCTACGTTTTTCAAAATATACTTAGGAGTAGCACTACACTTACTCTTCAGTTTGCAGATGATTAGGTTATAGTGGCCAGTGACAGAGAGGATATGTAATATATGATTAAAAAGCTGATAGAAGAGTATTAAAAATCAGGCCTGAGAGTTAATATAAATAAAGCCAATATCTATGTGTAGGCACCCAGAACGTAAACTTGAAAGTGGACGATGGTCGGGAAATTCTGCAATGTTAGGAATATGAGTATCTAGGTATCATATTCGGCAACATTGGAACAGATATGAAAGAAATAGAAAAGCTAATAGAAATGCCTTATGGAGCAAGGAAATAACAGAGAAGAGAAAACTCAATATATACGAGAAAATGATAGAGAGCAGCATTCTATATGGAGCCGAGACTTGAAGAAATAGACAGACAAAAGAAGAAAGTGGAAGCAGTTGAAATGGATGCCATTAGAAGATCCATGCGAATCTCATCAAGAGAGAGAATAAGGAACGATAATATAAAACAATAAATGGGATTAATGGGAATAAAAGGCACGATAGTTCAGGAGATTGGAAGGAAACAACTTACCTGGTATGGACACGTAGAAACGAATGCCAAATACCAGGTGGCCCAGAAAAATGTTGCATTGGCAACCAACAGGTTAAAGAAAACGAGGAAGATCAAAACTGGAATGGCAGAATATCATGCAAAAGTCTATGAGTGAAACAAATTTCTCATCAGAGGATTACGACGATAGAAGATATTGGAAATTAGGTGTCGTATAATGAAGAAAGACGTTCTTAAACCAAATATATTTATTAGGTACCAGTTTAATTCAACTCAGCTTCAATTTGGAACAACCGGGCCTATAAATTCTTTTTAAATTTGCTTTCAGTTCAGATTTCAGACCAAGGAATATCAGTTTTACAAATCAATATATTCTTAAAATATAAATATGTAGGTACTCAAACATTTTCTACAATATTACCATCATGTACAGAAAGTTTCCGCAAATAAAATTAAACATTAATAAAAACCAAATCCAATTTACCATTTCCATAACAAATTTTCCTCTATAAGCTGATCCAAACAAAATGAAAAACTTTACATCAAGCAAAAGCGAATCCATATTTCCTGAAAGCAATTGAAGTCTTGGAGCGTGTCCAAAAACTCAAAGATCTGCCATATCCATTTAGACTGCAGAGTTTTGGCTTAGTTTCACACACTGAGAAGACGAGACGTGATAATAATAATAATTTGACTTCAGTCAAATTCAGTTTTGCATAAGGTTTTGTGCTAGTAATAATCTTAGATAGAATATTCCAATGGAAAATATTTTAATTCTGACATTCAATATAATATGTTTATCTATTAGGAAAATAATTCAAATGTTTTTCTTCTACAAATTACTAGAAGAAGTTACATATTAGATAGAATTAAGTTGTTTGATTTTGATATAATTTTGTGTAAATCTATTTCAACTGTTAGTTACAAGTTATCTATTCTCGCATTTTTTGGCAAAATTTATAGAAACGTTTCCCGTTTTGATGTCGAGGGCCAGATGTGAAAAATCAAGAGATTTTCTATTTTTAAATCGATAATTTGAACTTGTTCCTGGACCCCCGCCAACCGCATTCCCACGGTTCACAGCTCAATTTCCAGCCAAAAATCCGATTTTATCGCAGAATTTTTAGAGCGGCTTCGTTTGGCCCAAACGCAAACAATTTTATTGCTACCGAAGCCACAAAATCGCTTTTGTATTTATTAATATTTCCGTTACGCAACTTGAAGAAAAACATCATCATCCCTTTCTCTCCACTATTACATAAATCTGTTTTTCTTGCGCGTCGCGACGCTCGGCCTCTCCTGGCGCCTCTTGTTTTGTTGCTACATCACATCAGTCGGCTGGCGGCCGTTCTCTTGTTCTACACCCTGCGAGAATGTGCTGACGTAAGGTAAAGACGCGCGTCGCGACGCTCAACTATACCATGCGGTGGTTGCCATGGACTATCAATGTGTGGTGGTTTACACGATCATTCGCATACCGTCGCCCTCACGCCCCCGTGCAGTGGGTCGGGGGCGGCCGTTATGGTGGCAGTACGCTGGCGGTGGTTGTTTGGATTGGGTCAGAGGGACTGTCAAGAGGTGGGTTGGATTTGGTTTGGTTTGTTTTTCTTTTTTTTTATAGCAAAAAATCTAATAAATTCTGTGTTAAGCCGGTCCTACACGATGCGTCCAAAGTTGGCTCCAACGTTGGATCCAATATTGGAACCAATGTTTTGACACACTATAATTAGCAAGTGTGTCTCCCACACGATGGGGTGAATTTTCAGTTCCAACATTGGACGCATATTGGTGCCAACGTTGTCAATCTATGTTCATTGTCGTATTCGTAGTTCGCGTAAAAATAGTTCAACAGAAAAAAAAAATTATATTAAAAATGGAAGATGAAGACATAAGCATTGCTGGCATTGCTGCAGGCATGATAGTTTTACTTTGTGCAAAATTATTACATCACTTAGAGCATTTCTATTCTTGTATCCCTGATGTTTGGGATTCCATAAAATAGGACGTTTCTCATACAGTTGAATAAGTTCAAGAATAAGTTCATTATTCCACTATTTCCACTCCATTATTAATCTACATTCTATAATGAGAAAAATATAGGTATAGCAAAACAAACCAAAAAATAAAATAAAATCTTTGGTGCTACACTGATTCTATACTAAATGCGACAAACACATGATCGCTCGTGTAGGCGTGGGACGAACGATGGTTCCAACGTTGGAAGTTCCTTTGACGCGGGTAAATTTTACCGACATGAGCCTGAACATGTCATGTGGCCAACGTTGGACACATGCAATTCCCAAGTGCACGCCCACACGGTGTGTCAAATGGCGATGTGTCCAACGTTGGAAGGCATTCGCCACATCGTGTGGGACCGGCTTTAGTCCCAATGAGAGGGTGTTTTCAGCCACGTGATTTTTCAAAAAAAATTGTTAAGGAGTAATCAGGATGTCGTATTAAAAAGTTTTATTTAATTTTATTGACTATTAGCTCTGAGCCAACCGACATGAGAACCGTTCTAGAACCAGTAATTTCCAGTTGCCCTCCTATTTTTTAATAAGTTGAACGTTTATCCTACTTAAAAAAAAATGAATTGATTGTGTAGCCTCCATTTTAACAAAAAGTATGCTACAGTGGCAGTTGTTCGCCAGAGAGCAATATTAGGGTGAGTAAGGAGTGTCTATAGTGGGCGCCAGAAGATTTAAAAAGGAGGTAATCCAAAAACAATTGTAACAACTGTCTGCAATTATTTTTATTTTGAACCATATATGTAATTTTCACATTCCTTACTGGTTTGAAGGCTCGAAAATGTCGCTTTACTTTTGTTTACTTTAAAGCAGGCCGAAAGTGACTGTTCTCCTGTCACTTTCGGCCTGGAGAACTCACTTTCGGCACTGATAAATTGTTTTTTCACACCTCAAGGCCCAAATTATGGACCAACTGGTAAGTGTCTAGTTGTTACCTAGCAGGTAGTTTCTATTCTCTAGTGCATAGGGTCGGCAAATGACCGGTCAAATATCTTTCGTTCAATTGACCTAGTATTTGACCAGTCATTTGTCAAATTGCTCGCGTCAAATACTCGAGTAGTGGGGAGCGTGACGTAGCATAATTCCCATCATTTATTGCTGGTCTAGCCGCCAGGTATAACATAACAAGGGCAGAGAGACAATAGACAATAGTATATTTCCTAACTAGTGCGGAAATTCCCACTTTTCCGCACGCGATTGCAGTTTGCCGAACGACCCTTAACAGAGTTCAGCAAGCAATCAAGGAAAATAGGCTTTCCGCACGAGCTAGAAACACTATTTTTTCTACGAGATGAAAGTTAATATTTGTACCTTTATATTTAACAATTTACGAGCCAATTTAAGATATTTTTTTTTTTCAATTTTTCGCATATGTACCTAGAGTATACTATACAGGGTGATTGATGGTCAATGGTAGGGTAGACGTTTATGGAAAACGGAATGTTGGATATTTTTGAAAATTTGCATGCCTAAGTAATTGCTCCTGATCTATCTTTCTAAAATAATTTCAACGATGCGACGTTGCCGCTTATACCAAAAAGTAATATAAACTTTGAAATTTTAAATGAGACACCCTGTATATTATTGCATTTTTCACTCCGCTATTACTTTCTGATCATTTTTGTATAATACTGTCCTATACCTATCTCTAGTGATTTTCGACTTATTAATTAATTTAAATTAGTTACCTACCCGTGATATTTGGATGAAATTTAAATATGTTATTGGGGATGCCATAAGCAACATTTTTCACCATGGGCACAACCCTGTATATATGACAGGTGAGGCGTGGTTAGCTGTCAAATATTGGAATCTGATATCTAAAAGCAGAGTACCTATGGCAGATTTTGATGAACAAAAAATCTATTTCTACTAAGTCGACCAAGTTAAGTCGAAAAATGTCAACCATTTCAACACCTGTCAAAATCCTGCCAAATGGCAGCACTCATCTGTTCCAGTTTTCAATATTTTATGTTGTTATTTGACATTTTTAACTTATATGTAAATTCTGAATTCAAAAATTGAAAAAAAAAATGACAGCTGTCAAAATGTGACGTGCATGAACTTTGTTCAATGTTTTATCACCAATAAACTACCTTAAAACGAGAAAGGACCAGATTAGAGTATTTTTTTCTACTAAAACAAATGACAGGTTTTGACAGTTCTGTCATTTTTTTTTTCAATTTCTGAATTTAGAATTTACATATAAGTTAAAAATGTCAAATGACAACATAAAATATTGAAAACTGGAAAAGATGAGTGCTGCCGTTTGGCAGGGATTTGACAGGTGTTAAAATGGTTGACATTTTTCGACTTAACTTGGTCGATTTAGTAGAAATAGATTTTTTGTTCATCAAAATCTGTCATAGTTACTCTGCTTTTGGATATAAGATTCCAATATTTGACAGCTAACCACGCCTCACCTGTCATATATACAGGGTTGCGCTCATGGTAAAAAATGTTGCTTACGGCATCCCCAATAACATATTTAAATTTCATCCAAATATCACGGGTAACCAATTTAAATTAATTAATAAGTCGAAAATCACTAGAGATAGGTATAGGACAGTATTATACAAAAATGATCAGAAAGTAATAGCGGAGCGAAAAATGTAATAATATACAGGGTCTCATTTAAAATTTCAAAGTTCATATTACTTTTTGGTATAAGCGGCAACGTCGCATCGTTGAAATTATTTTAGAAAGATAGATCAGGAGCAATTACTTGGGCATGCAAATTTTCAAAAATATTCAACATTCCGTTTTCCATGAACGTCTAACCTACCATCGATCATCAATCACCCTGTATACCTGTAAGTATCTGTATACCTACCAATTTTAGTGCGGAAAAGTGGTACTTTCAGGACCTAAATGCGTGTGGAAAAGTGGGATTTGAAGTTTTGTTTCTTTCATTTTCTAGAGAAGAATTTTATTTTATTTTTTTATCCTATAAACTTTCGCTTTTGCAATTTTTTTTTAAATGGGTCAAATTGATTTGGTCAAATATTCGAACTTCGGTCTAATTGAGTGTCAATTGACAACTTTTGACTGGTCAATTGACCGAGGTGCCATCCCTACTAGTGCATAGAAAGTACCTGCTAGGTAATAACCAGACGTTTACCATTCAGTTCATAATTTGGCCCTAAAGGAGCATTTACATTCACTTCTAACTTCAAATTAAATTTGACGTTCAATATTTTAAGAAAATTTTGGATTGATTTTCTCTGCTTTTCCATCCATAGACGCGTTTCGACCTATCAGGTCTCATCAGCATGGCTAGGAAAAGCAAAGAAAACCAATCCAAGTTTTGTGCCTGTAGGCCAAATATACATAGTACGATGGTCGAAAATTGATCGTGGCGCCATCTAAGACAAGGGTTTAACACTAAACAGCAATTTTTGCTGTAATTTGGTGATTGACCCATCTAATCGGCCGACCAAAATTCAGTAAGGCAGAGAAAATCAATCCAAAATTTTCTCATCAGTGGATAATAGGAGAAAACTTGTTTTCCCTATTCTGGGTTTTCCCACGAACTGAATTTTGGTCGGCCGATTACATGGGTCAATCACCAAATTACAGCAAAAATTGCTGTTAAGTGTTGAACCCTTGTCTTAGATGGCGCCACGATCAATTTTCGACCATCGTTCAATATTTTATTATTTACATTGCAGAACAAAAACGTCAACTCAAAACGTCAGAATGTTATGAGAATCAGATGGATAATCCAAAAATTTGACATTTCACAAATTTCTGCAAGTAGCTCGCCCGAATTTTTAAGTGCACTTCGAAGTGAACTTCAAATTTATTTCAATGTAAATGGATCTGTGCTGTCGCCATATGGAAGCACGTCAAGTTCAAGACAAATTGGACTTTGAAGTGAATGTAAATGCACCATAACACAAATCCAGGTGCAATGTTTGTATTTAGAAGTAGATGTCACATGTGTTTATATTGTTGAAATTTCATAAAATGTCAATGTCGGTGTCAGACTGTCAGTCGAAATTTCATTTTTGTCATATTTTTACCTTATTTTTTTCAATAATAATTAATAATTCGAAATAAAATAGTATACATAATTTGGTGGAAAGTTTTCACATTATTGTCTCGAGAATTGGTTGACCTCGGCGCTACGCGCCTCGGTCAACCATAGTATCTCTCGACAATAATGAAACACTTTCCACCTCCGCATGTAATATACTATTGTTTATTTCATTGAAGCTTTGATGTTTTTTAAAGCCTGAGTGCAAAAAAATATCCCTCGATAAATTTCTTAAACCTAAAAAGCTGAAATTTTCCCTAATAATTCATTGCGCCCTGTGCAATGTAACAGTACAAAATAACTCTTGGCGTGATCAGGACCGAAGTTTATTACTTAAATAAAGTTAAACTTATAAGTATAAAAAACAATCCGTGTCCTTCAGGATACTAGATTAATGTTCTGCCAATTGAGCTAAGGTGAGTTCAATAAAACAACCCTCACAAGGACCACCATGAAGAAATGCAAAAAGGTGTGGGAGGCTGCGAATTGCATACTCTCGTAGGTAACGTGTAGTGGTTTTCGGTGACTGGCACCACTACAGTTGAGGCCCCTCGGTAACTCCTTGAAAATCAAGGATCTGGACACAAAATGAGCCCAACCACCAAAAATATTAATGGAGGGCATCTCACAGGCCGGCCAAATGCAGTTTAAGCGGCGATGGCCTCAAATGAGGTTATGGAATTTTCTCGAAAACACAAGGAAAAACATTTCCACTAGCACTAGGCCACTATGAGTGTTTCAACTTTACTCATTTAAAGGTAAAAGTCGAGGTAACTCGAGAAAATTTGACTTTCTGGGTCCTTATTCTTGAAACAAGGGAGCAGCATTCCCAGGAGAACGAGTGTTCTGTCTTTGTTACCTATATTGTCATTTGCATATCAATGAGAAAGACAGAACACTCGTTCTCCTGTGGGCCTATTCTTAAAAGAGGAGAGCAGCGTTCTCACGATAACAAAGGCGCTGTCTTAGTCGCTCTTATTTGAATTTCCATAATACTGACAAAGACAGAGCAATCATTCTCGTGAGTTCGCCACTCCCTGGTTTCAAGCATAGGACCTCTGGGAGCGCTCCTCCCCTGTTTCAAGAATAAGGACCCTGGGGGAGCAACGTTCCCAGGGGGCCGATTCGCAAGCAGGGAGTAGAGCTCCTCGAGAGAACAATTTTTTTTTGTCTTTATCATTCTCGTTTACTTTTCGATTACGTTGACAAGGATAAACCATTCGTTCTATCGGGGAGCTCTACTCCCTTAGACGAGAATCCGGTCCCGGAAGAACGAATGTTTCGTCTTTGTTCCTAATATTATCATTTGCGTGTTCCGTCTTTCTCAACGATATGAGAAAGACGGAACACGCGTTCTCCTGGGAATGTTGCTCCCCTGTTTCAAGAATAAGGACCCTGAAGGCACGAGGGACAATAGTATATTGTTTTATTAGGAGTAAAAGTGATACTTTTTGTGGCGAGACTAAATGTTTGACAATTTTAGACGAGCTACAAAAAGTGCTTTTCTCCGGATAAAACATACGATTTTTTCCGCAAACGGTGTTCAAAGCGATGGAATCTAGGAAATTTCTGTGACGTCACGCGCGTACAAAAAAGTAACCAAAAAAATGACGTCTGTGAACTCAAACTTCAACATTAAGAATTGAGGTTAAAAAAGTCGTAATTTTTTGACGTTTGCGAAAAAAATTATTATTTTAACGGATTACGACTTTACCTTTCGATCGCCTTCAGAAAAGTGCCCTACAGGGTCCTTATTCTTGAAACAAGGGAGCAGCGTTCCCAGGAGAACGAGTGTTTCGTCTTTCTCAATGATATGCAAATGATAATATAAGTGACAAAGACGGAATACTCGTTCTCCTGGGAACGCTGCTCCCCTGTTTCAAGAATAAGAACCCAGAACAACAGGAAGGAATGACATGACATTTAAAATAATCCTGAGAAGTTAGCTACGGTCTACGGAGCATGGATTTAGCAACATAGCAAACCTAAGGGCCTGTATACAACATTAACTTAACTGAAAATTATTTACATCTTATTACTAAACCTCAAAGATAGCCTTAAGCTGTAACATTGTAAATGTTGCCGCTCAATAATCTTACAAAATAACAATAATAATAATAATAATACATAGTTAAGAATTATCAGCTGAAAACAGTATTAAATTTGGCAAGTAGCAAAATCAAGATTACAAACTGAAAGAGGTTGTCTGGTAAAAATACGTTTCAACAGTTAAGCTATGTCATGAACAGTCCCGTAGAACCTGCTGTTTCAAGACATTTTTAAATAAAAATTTATAACTAAGTACCAAGTAGCTTCAAACGCTAATACAATTGACGTGTCTCGTAATACCTTGTGTGCGCGCGCAACTCGTGGGTTGCAGGTGAGTTTCCAATGAAAATCAAGTTTGTTACGGGCTTGCGTCATATTCGTATTCAGGGACGAGCTCAGAATTAATCGTTCCTTCTTTCTTTGTAACGTGTAATTCGACAAAGAGCAAACTAATACTTTACGTATTACTTGAACTTATACCAGTGTCATTTAAGGTTATGTTAGATTATACTTGACATATTCTTTTGTAATTTCATTGTTCGATGTTGCCGGATGAAATATTTATCAAAATAAAATTGCCATCGATGTTAACATACACTTTAAAGCTCTTCTTTTGTCTGATTTAAGGTGTTGTGAAACACTTGACAATATATCACTTCCTTAATGTTATAATGTTCGATTTGTATTGTCTGCATTTGTTCTGCAACAATACAATCTGGCTACACTGCAGCCACGGGTTGCGCGCGCATGTCATTTTCTATTACTTTTTAACTTGTATTTATTACAATTAAGCTCTCTTTTTCTATTTCTGCGAGACACGTCAATTGACTGGAAATTACGGTCCTAGACAGAGCCGCAACTAGGGGGTCGCGAACTAGGCGCCTAATTTAATCCATCCATATTTTAGAACCAAAAAAATGCAACGGTCCTACGCGTCATTTGTCGTAGCACGGAAATGTATTTTGCTTGTGTTACATTTCTCTTTGTCAACCATCAACAATAAGAATATTGACATAGTAATCATATAAATTATGTCACACAATGTGCGTGCAAAAGGCAGCAGGAATGTCTGTGATAAATTCAAGTATTGATGACGTAGCGCCCAACATTCGTTAACCAGAGATTAGCTTCGAGTCAGAATTCGATCCGTCCAAACTAAGCAAGAGCATTGTGGGCAACGTGGGCATTCTGCATGCATTATCTCTTTTGACTCTTTTCTATTTAACCGTTTACGGAAACTATAATCGGGTTACCCCGATCAGCAGCTGAATGTTTTCTTTCTATCTTTCCTTAATTAATACGATTAAAAAAAAAACAAAATACTTGTTGGCGAATCGGGTTAACCCGGTCATAGTTTCTGTAAACAGCTTTTACTTTTACAATAGCTTCGTTCCCGGTAAGAATTCTGAACTGGTTTGAAACTATTTCGCAAAAAAAAAAAAAAATCCGAACTTTTAGTTACGGTTCTGGATTCGCGGATCAACCAGAATCGGTTCGGAACCGTTTCTGAACCAGTTCTAGCGGTCCTAGGAGGAGAGGCGCCAAAATTTGGACTTGCCTTTGGCGCCAAGGGTTCTAGTTGCGGCCCTGGTTCTAGAACGGTTCTCATGTCGGTTGGAACAGAGCTAATGTCTCAAAAAGGGGGGAATAAAAACGTGAAATCTACTAAAAATTTAAGCTAAAAATTCCCTAAAACTCAACGAAAGATTCTCAAAATATTATTTCATGTTAGTTAAATGAAATTTTAAAACAAACAAAAATTCCACAGTGTATAATATATTTGAATAAGCGAATTGAAACGTTTTGGTTTGAGTGCAGCCTCCAGGAAACATCAAAATGTAGGATTATGTTGTAACCTCGAAACAGTATGCTTTACGCAATTTTATATGTAAAAGTGATTGACGTCATAGCTAGGAAAATTTGTGCTTTTAATATCTATTTTTACTGAATAGGTATACTGTTCTGAAAATAAATCTTGTTCAATAACATATTTTATGATGGATTTTGATTATTATTTGGCTCCTGTCTTGGAAAATTTCATCAACGCCTAAACTAATCAACTTAATTAAGAGAAATCTTTCGTACTTCAAAAAGACTTGATAAGATAAAAATTAAAATTCTCTATTTTCCCTGATTAAAAAACTAGGGAATCTTCAAAACATGTTCATGCTGCAATTTTTCTTTTGAATTTTAACCAGTCCATTTAACCAAATATCTTTTCAGAGCGGTAGCAGCTTACCTGAGAGCTCTAAACCTCTCACCCAACAATGCAGTCGTCCACGGCAACTTGGCCTGCGTCTACTACGAACAAGGCCTCATCGACTTGGCCATCGACACTTACAGGCGCGCCATCGAACTACAACCCAATTTCCCTGACGCCTATTGCAACCTGGCGAACGCGCTCAAGGAAAAAGGGCAAGTGTCCGAGGCGGAAGAGTGCTACAACACGGCTTTGAGGCTGTGCCCCAGTCATGCAGACTCGCTCAACAATCTGGCCAACATTAAACGAGAGCAAGGATTCATAGAAGAGGCCACTAGATTGTACCTAAAGGCTCTAGAAGTATTTCCCGAGTTTGCAGCTGCCCACAGTAATTTGGCTTCGGTGTTGCAACAGCAAGGTAAACTGAACGAAGCTTTGATGCATTATAAAGAGGCCATAAGGATTCAGCCCACTTTTGCTGATGCTTACAGTAATATGGGCAACACTTTAAAAGAAATGCAAGACGTTGCTGGTGCTTTGCAATGCTATACCAGAGCAATACAGATCAATCCTGCGTTTGCTGATGCACACAGCAATCTGGCCAGTATTCACAAAGATTCTGGCAATATACCGGAAGCCATTCAGTCGTACAGGACAGCTTTGAAACTGAAACCAGACTTTCCTGATGCCTATTGTAATTTGGCGCATTGCTTACAAATCGTTTGCGATTGGTCAGATTATGATAGTCGCATGAAGAAGCTGGTTAATATTGTAGCAGATCAATTGGACAAGAATCGTTTGCCTTCAGTTCATCCCCACCATTCAATGCTATATCCTTTAACACACGAATATCGAAAGGTAACTTTTGTATTTAGGAAACAGATTATTTACTAACAGAATTATTATTTCAGGCAATAGCAGCTCGTCACGCAAACCTCTGCCTGGAAAAAATCAACGTCCTGCACAAACCCCCGTACCGTTTCATTCCAGAAATCAAAGGGCGCTTGCGTATTGGCTACGTTAGCAGCGACTTTGGTAATCATCCAACATCACATCTGATGCAATCAGTGCCCGGACTACATGACAGAATCAATGTAGAGGTGTTCTGCTATGCTCTGAGTCAGGATGATGGTACCACTTTCAGAAGTAAAATTTCCAGAGAGTGCGAACATTTTATTGACTTAAGTGCAGAGCCTTGCAATGGTAAAGCGGCAGATCGGATTTATTCTGATAATATTCACATTTTGGTGAACATGAATGGATACACTAAGGGGGCTAGGAATGAGATTTTTGCACTGAGACCTGCGCCAGTACAGGTGAGAACAAGTTTTTTTTTGATTACAAATTGATTCACAAAAGCAGAACAATCAGTTACAGTTCATGGTTTAATTAGAATCGACTCTGAATTAGTTCTACTAAGGAGAGTTTTCAGAAACGATTAGTTCAAGTGATAATCACTCCAGAGCTGCTCTAGAGTGATTCTAGTAGGTTTCTACTGAGAGTAAAATTTTAAATTCAAATGAAGCTCAGTTCAGATTACGAATTGTGAATTGATTTGGAACCATTCGCAAGAGCAGAAAAATCAGTTACTGTTCGCGGTTCAATTAGAATCGATTCTGAACTAGTTTTACTAGTTCTACGAATTTAATTTGAACTATAAGTTAGTTAAAGTTAATCTAAGGTCTGTTCCAACTAGGGCTCGGAATTGTATTCGAATAATTCGAATATTCGACTATTCTAAATTCGACTATTCGATTATTTTAATATTCGACTATTCGATTATTGGACTATGTATTTGAATATTGGACTATTTAACAATGCAATTACTCACCCTATACATTACAAATTTGAATAAAATAATATTTAGATTTTCAATAGTCACCTAAACGACTATTCCGGTAAGGTACCGGTATTTAATTAAAAATAGACCACTACTAACAGTACGACAAAGTACAAACTAACTAATATAAATCATTATCGGAATATTTGACCATTGGAATATTAGACTATTCGAATATTCGACTTTTTGACTACATATTCGAATATTCGACTATTCGTATACTTATTTGACTATTCGGATATTCGACTATTCGAATATTCGACTATTCAGTATTCGAATAGGTATTCGAATATTCGATTAGGTATTCGAATATTCGATTATTCGAATTATTCAACTATTCGAATAAAATACCAAACGACTATTCGAATACTTGAATCTTAGAAATTCCGAGCCCTAGTTCCAACCTGCCAAAAAACCGTCCCAAGAACGGTTTCGGAATCACTCTGTATACAAATTTCGGATTCTATGCACAAATTTTACCTTTCGCGTAGAGTCCTGACGGTAAAATCTACGATTCCCTGCTGGGTTAGAACAAAGCTGTTTTTCGAAAACTTTGAAAGGGCATAACTTATTTCTATCATAGATGGAAAACTGAAATTTTCACTGAAGTTTATCTCAATAAAGGGACTACAATCTCTGAAAATTTCAACTCATTTGCACTTATAATTCCTGAGATAAAATCGTGTTAGGCAATTTGGAGTGATTTATGTGCCTCGAGTTTGCAAAAATTTAAGTAATAAGGTTATGTTTTTACCTGTTGGAAATAGGGTTTGTTTGCCTCGAAAATCTCCGGAAATCTGCTCTGAGACTCTGTGCTCTATAGAATTCTACAACTCGCTTTCCATAGTAGATATTCATTTTCAAAAGCGATAGGCGGCTGAAACGGCACTCTGTGTCACCATCGACAACAGTTCGGCTACGTTCTCGGATCCTTTTATCATGCTACTAACCATTCGAAAAACGTAGTACAATCTAGGGGAAACTCTAGGGAATTTTCCAATTTTCATTTGATTCCTAAGAAATGTCAATATTATTTATTGAATTGACTGTATACGTCATTAATCAGTTTGTTTTTGTTATTATTTGGTTTGCTTGCTTACACAGAATCTTTAAGTTTAAAAATTATGCTTTGTTGCCCATTATTAATTCAAATAACAATATTGTTGAAGAAGATGAGAAACTTGAACATATTTGTCTGGAAAATATCCAGTGATGAGTGATGCCCAACCACCAACAACAGTGAGTGTTTTCAAAAAGAAGATGTTAAATTTGAAGAAATAATCGGACAACGCTATAATATTTATGTGGCTAAAAACTATGTCAAGAGTAGAGCAATAGAGAAAGTATCAATAGCCATCAAGGTTCAGTTTCCTGTGACTCAAGACGGAAAAAGTCCAATTGAAGCAGGCCGATGGAACCAAAGACCTTGATGGAACCCACAATGAGTGAAATTATTAGACCGCAAGACGAAGAACCCTGGCTAAAACACTGCTCCAGGAACTCCAGAGTTCAATTATAGCAAAAATCACATCCAAACTCGAAATTGTATCGGTATGCTCAAACGTTTAAACAAAGATTTGTGTGTACTTCAAAAGTGTTGAGGCATGCTCCAGAAAAAGTTGGGCGCTTTGTTATTGTTTGTGTTATTATACATAATTGCTCGGAAGGGAGACTGAATGGTCCACGAACTTCATATCCGAAGGGATAACATTCAGTATAATGTAACGTTATGCAAGCAGGAGTCTAAGCAAGAAACAATTTGATTCGTCGTCATTTTATGCACTGATTTTCTGAAATGTTATAAAGATTTTAACCATAATATGTGTTTTATTCCGGGTTTTTCGCTTCTCACTCTCATGACAATGACGATAATATCAATGTTATTAATATAATCGGAAACCGGCGTCTGCTCGAAATAAACTAATGAAAATATTAAATATTATTAAATAAATAAGAAAAAGGAATAGAATAATTATTTCTCAATATAAATATGGAATAACAACAACAACAATTTCGCAGTTGTTAGTGTCATTCATGAAACTTCACAATGCACATGCGTCAGTAGTACGTCTCGAGATGTAGAAATGAAATCGCGTTTTGTCGATATTCTTGATGCACAGAGTGCCAACCATGTAGAATCTTGTCGACTGATAGAATTCTACATGACACAGAGTCCCGCTCCAGATCGAGGATTGGATTGAATATCCTGGAGTGAGTGAGATTATTCTCTACTCTTTAGGGCAGCTTTCAACTAATAATTGAATGGAAAAAGTCAGAATCTTCTATGGGAAAAACGTGTAAGCAACTTACCACAAATGACTGTTTTTTCAAATCCGATAACATCGGCGAAAATTATGGCACTTTACGAAAGTAAAACATAACGCAAGGTAACTCAGTGTGCCATAAATTCAATTCAGAAGAAAATCAGGCCCAAAATCCCTTTTTAAGGTGAAGACAAAAATTAATTCTTCTGAAGGACCTGCTTCTTCAAACAGTCAACATGAAAGGAAAAGTGCTGCACATTAGATCAACGAGCTAGCCTAAAGATAGATTCAGAGATGATACAGAATAACGATAAACGTCAAAAATTAATCGATAGAATTCTCACTTACCAAAAATTGCACACAACAATATATCCGAGAAAAATGACAACGGCTAATGAATAATGATATTAACAACAAATAATTATCCCATAAAACAATCAAAACTTGAAGAATACAAAATAGAGTAAGTGATCCGTTTGCAAAATTAGAGGGCTTAAAAGAAGAATCGACGATACTAAAAACATTACTAATCGACCGCCTGTTGACAGAAATTGTTGACAATCAAAAGTCAAAAAACCGAAAGCAAGGATACTGCACAAAATATCTCAAAGACCATCGAACCAATGATAGACCCGGGGTTCACTAGAATTTGCTCCGAGATCAATAGCGCTCAATAACCGAACAGAGTAAGTACGAACGGAGTAGTTCTGTACATACACTTGAAAACGGGTCAATATGATTTCAGAACACAACCCCACGAAATATTTTTGACACATGAATTAATTATTTTTGTTATGAAAACAGATGTTCGCATTTAAAATTGGAATCAAAATATTGCTTTGTTTTGATTTTGAAATTGAATTGAAATCATGGATTAACAGGAACTAGTAACAAATGAAAATAGAATTTGCCCATTGAAAATTAGGAAATTTAAAGGATCTACAACCGTTGAGATTATTGATGAAATTTTATAGAGAGAAAATGTTGACATGGCATTAAATATTAGAATCCTGGTGATCGGTCGATTTTTTTAAAACTGAAGTATGTTATTCTATACCTGAAAACAAGCATTTTTGCTTTTGGTCACTTTTTTGTAGGAGTATGGGATGTCCCAGAAAATTAAGTCCAAAGTTTTTATATGGAATATTTAGTTTGAAGCATAAATTATGCTTATCTAATCTGTTATGTATTTTTGCAACTTAATACATTAAAGACAAAGATATTTATGTAGTTAAGAACAAAAATTATTATACAGGGTGTCTCAACAATTTTATTTTAAACCAAACTACACCCTAAAGAAAGGCAATAACCAAAATAACGGTTAAAAAAAAATTGAGTTCAAAAATTTATATCAAATGTTTGATGTATCGGTTTAGTGATTTTGAATATGTATTGGTCTGTTGTATTATCAACACAGTTAGGGCCAGTTTCACAAACATTTGTAATTTAACGGTAAACACAAGACACTGGTAACCTACAATATATCTACTTCATGATGTGTGGTTTAGCCAAATCCTTTGGTCAAGCTTTGCACCAATTGTGAAACTGGGCCTATATGGCATATTTTTGTATTTGTTGATCTATTTCTACAGTATTAAATCCAAATCATTTCCAGGGAACAGCAGCTACTTCAAATAGTCTCTGGTGATCATTGTTACAATGTTTGTAGTTATTATTGATATTTTAGGTTATTATAGTTTTGTAGCAGTTGTTTTAGTTATTGGCTTTCTTTAGAGAGTAGTTTAGTTTAAAATATAATTTTTGAGACACCCTGTATAATAATTTTTGTCCTCAACTACATAAATAGCTTTGTCTTTAATGTATAAGTTGCAAAATCACATAACAGATCAGTTAAACAACGGTTAAACATAAGTTTATGCTTCAAAGAAAATATTTCATATACAAACTTTGAACTCAATTTTCTGGGACATCCCATATTCGTACAAAGAACTGACCATAAGCGGAAATGCTTGTTTCCAGGTATAGAATAACATACTACAGTTTTAAAAAAATCCGCCGATCACCAGGATTCTAATATTTAGTGCCATGTCCTTTAAGGAAATCTTAAATATAAAATTGAAAGTAGGTAAGAATTAGTTGTATAATTTTGGACCGTTACACGTTTTAGTAAGAAGGTATCTACCTTATGATTTAGATTTTGGAAAACTTTGGAAGGGCATAACTTTTTTTCTATTATAGATAGAAAGCTGAA